GCTCCCAGTGTAGTCAATAACGCAGTGATGGTATTGTCGTGCTACAATGAGGAAATTTCCACCCTGTCGATTTAAAGTATTTAAATACTGAATGGCTGTGAGATTCGCTTTTGAAGTAGCTTGAAAGTTGATTTTACGTTTCTAGATCTACACACAACAGAACACTATACCTCGCAAAATTTCAGCCTTCCAAACAGACAGACACGTACACACACTAGCGCAGACAGATAAACATAGTCTTGCTATGGTGCACTTATTTGAATTACACAGATTTGTATTGATAAAAGAGCGAAATGAAAACTTACAGCGGAGTAAGCATAATATTTCAGTTTATTGATCCATTCACAGCCCGATTTCGATTTGCCTAGGCAGGAAATCTAAAATTTATTCTTGATTGCGATAAAAAGTATTAGCATGCCTAAAGAATTGACCACAACACAGGAACAAGTGCAAAGACGAAACGAACATCAAAATCGCCAGCAGAATTGATCATCAGGTGATGCAACATTGGATAAAGCAATTGGAAAAGCTGTCAGTTAAATAGTTGGTGTTGCAGACATTGAACTAACTGGATCTAGTCAAATATGGCAATAGCAGATTTAACGATAATGACTGTACTTTCTGCTGTCTCTTTGTAGGTGCTGTTGTTTGATGGAAATCGGCTAGTACCAAACTTTAGTAAAGGAAAGGTTTTGCTTTTGAGTCCAGTACTTCCGTACTGAAATGCCCCACTTTTACTCAGTTTCGCTTCCTCATTTTCTTCATTGTGGTACTTCTGCTTAGGAGAAAAGGAAGGGCGATATTTCGGACTTACAACAACAAAACTTACTTTGGAAGCAATACGATCCATAATAGTCCGGATTAGTGCTCCACCTCTAACTTTCGCTGTTTCTACTAGAAAATCAATTCCACCATGAATGCCAATCTCTGAAAACGATGTAAAAAATGAGAAGGGAACAAGGCAGTGAAAATTCTTTCTCGAAAAGCGATAACTACAGGAGCGTGGATACCAGACAGCCAGTCTCGGAACAGCGATTTTCGCCTAAAAATAGTCTCGGAACGGCTTATTTTACGTGAGCCGTCGAATGGACTATCCGATGAAATGTGGCTTTGTGCTAAATTGTCTATTCTTTCTCTCACTATTAACAAGACTTGGCTGGCCGTACAAGTGCTCGGACGAGAGCCATCCTTTAAAAATTTTTGAAAAGTAGTGAGCTTCGACACCTTGTTGAATTGGCGTCTATCGGAAGAATCATTATTGACTGCCAGTTAATGCATCAACTGTGAAACGATAAGAAAATATGGCATTATTATCGGTTATACCGTTAGAAAGCGTTCCGAATATGATTTAGTGGCCCCAAAAGTCGCATAGGGACAAGTTGAGAAGAGTTTTTAATTTGTAAATAAGTTATTTTAAATACAACACTAAAATACGAGTTTTGGAAGAGTTAGGTGATTGAGAGACTTCAAAACAAACGAAGTTGCTAACTAAAGGAAAAGTTGCTAACTGCATCAACGGTACTACGAGCCACGAAGGTAAAACAGCAGCTGATCAAAGTGCTAAAATTAATTAAAATAAATGAATTAGTGGATACACATGCCGAGACCATCCTCTAGATTATTCATAATCCCATTGATCTTAACTATTTCGTTGTATAACGAATCGTCCACAGGCGACGACTTGTTGTATGTTCTCTGGAAAATAAGTGCGGTACAAAAACGTTTTTTTAAAAGACTTATGTCTAAATTAAATTTTGAAGTAAAAACTTGCAATTGTTGGACCGAAACATCTTTATCCTGACTAAAACACACACACATTTCTTATGTATATATTTAAGAAATGTATTTACTTTCGGCACTGTCATTAGCTATTGATATTAACTGTTATTAATTATTACTGTTAATTACGATTGATTATTATTACTAGTTATTATTATTAATTATTGTCACTAATTGTTGCTGTCCACTGTTAATTATTATTAATTATTATCATTTATCAATATTAAATATTATTATTTTTATTGTCATCATCATTGCTATTATCGTTGTTATTATTATTGCTGTTATCGTTATTATTTTCATTATTATCATTAATACTATTATTGATGTCATTAATATTATTATTAC